AGGATGCAGAAAAGGATGCCGCTGCAGATGCCGTAGTTGCGCGCATATGCGGTGTCTGTCAAAACAGAACTTGCCGTCCTCCAGGCTGAATGTCTGCTGCTCGGAGGTACTGGTTGATGAGGCTTCTGGCGGCTGTGGAGGGTGGCTGCGCTAGCTGCTCGAAGGCGATGTAATTGAAGCTGTAGCGGTTGCGACTCACGCAAAATGCTTTGGCGTTGCTGTCCTTGAGGACCTGATCTTCTTGTGTTGCCACGCGCGCAGTCTCAAAGGATCCGCCATAAACTTTCCTCAGTGATCCCCAAGCCTTTCCACCAACAATAATCGCTGCAAGATTTTTTGCACTTTTATTGGTATTGTATAATACCCGGGCGATGTTGTACTCGTCCGTTTCTCCCCCGCAGATCTCGTGCCCCAGCGCGTAGAAAATATTGCAGTTGAACTGGGAGACGCCGTGGGCGTTCATGGGAAGCATATCATATCCCTGTTGCGCAACATACTCCACAATGCCCCCACATCGGTGCCATGGCGCCAGAATAAAATACGTTCTGATTTTGTGGGGACCGGCGGGTCCTTGAGCGCCAGATCTGAAGATGCCAGGTAGTAGAACCTGCGCATCGTTTCCGGCGTTGCTTCGCCAGAAATGCGGAACTTGGCACTCGCGGCGAGTGCCTCCACATACCTTTTCATGTCGTCCTGGACCGGGTAAGCCGCGACCTCGATTGCACCCCAATCCACCACGTACTTGGAGATGTTCTTGGGAAACTTGAAGGTGGATGGCATTGCTTGGATGCTGTAAAGGTCCTTGCCTGTAGCGGCCGGGCGTGGTGGCGTAGAGGATGATGACGAGGCCCGTGGCTTCATCTTGGCCTTAGAGCCTTAGGTGCTGTTGCCGGTGGCGTACGAGATCGCTGTCGTGCTGTAGGCGATCTGGAGTCGGGTCTTGTCCTTGTTGGCGACCTTGCTCCCAGGCGTCCCGGTGTGGATGACCTTGAGTCCCTTCTGTTACTGGCTCCCGGTCTGGGAGTGAGCTGCAAAGGTGCCCTGGATGCCCTGGGGGATTGTGCCCTGGAAGATTGTGCCTTGGAAGATTGTGCCTTGGAAGATTGTGCTCTGGAAGATCGTGCTCTGGGCGATCGTGCTCTGGACGATTGTCTATACGGAGATCTCCTCGGGGATC